TTAACGATTGAGACAATTAAATATTATTTTTTTAAATCTATTATTAATTGAAATAATTCAACGTGAATTTAATCTTAGTAATTATCAAGTGTGTTTATTAAAAAAGAAACATTTAATATTAATATGTTATTAACTTTAAAGAGAGCTCTTTTTCATTTACTTTTTTTACTTTGTAAATTTAAAATCATTAATAATTTTTTAAGGTTTATCATACGCTAACATTGATTTTTTCCTTTAACAAACACTTAAAATTTCTAAAATTCAAACATATATTCAATTAGAATTCAAATAAAACTAACTGAATCACAATTATCATAAAAAACTGTAACTTTTCTTTATTTTCCTAAAAATAAAATATCCAGACAGAAATTATTGGTAAAAAAATAGGTAAATCCAGCCAGAAAGTCGTTAATGTCTTGAGGGTGGAGGAAGTTGCAGCAGGAACTTGATTACAGATAGCTTAAAGTTGGTAACGGCAGAGTGCTCTAAAACGCAGGGAACATTGTTTTTTTTGGGATTAGGAGAGATACAAAGTAGGAAGTCATCTACTGTAGCTACGCATAGCATAAAAGTAGCTGATCAACATTAATAGAGTCTCATTTAGATAAAAGAGTTCAATCAGATAGATGTCTGAGAAATTTCTTGCACCGAGTTAATGATCCATCGATTCGATACGAACAAATTCATTGTCTCGTAAGATCTTTCTTGTCGATTGCATGATCGCTTTTGTCCAAATAATGACATTGGTCTAATTATGAATACATATATCGTACAACTTAATATGCACAAGTAATTACTAATACTAACTTTATATGCTAAGTCTGAGTTTACTGTTCTTCTCATCCTTTTGTTCGAGAGCTCCGCCAGCAAGCATATACTCTCTGCCATTAAGTTGTTGCCACAACATTAGGATTTCATTCATTGAGAAAATAACAAAGCTAAAATAGGAAAGAAAAGTGAAAGGGAGAGCAACTGTATCATAATAGTGCATAAAATAAAAAACAACGACAAAAGGCAATTGTGCCAGAATTTTCTTTCAGAAACACTTAACATGAAGCCCCAACTCAGCTCAAGAATGAATCCAGTTTTACCATCAAATATTATACTCTTCTACCATCACCAACAATTGTTTTTCCTTTCAATGATTAATTAATTGTTGACTAATAATGTTTGCCACATCCCGTAACTTAATGATAGTCTAATTAAGCAGCAGTTTATATAAAAATCATAAACACCACACGTACCTGAGTCTTCCACAAAGGCGTGCCAAAGCATCTGATCCAGTTCTATATGCAATATCCTCAACCTTAGCAGCATTGGCTAAAGTCATGCTATCTGCAAGTACAAACTCACATAACTCCTTTAACGAACAAGCATCAGTCAACACAGCTGAATGGCCACCACCAGCAGCAAGTTTCCGAACCTCCCCAACACACCTGTGATTTAGAAACTTCAATATAAAAGCCTGTGTGGTCATGAAAAAGTTTCTTTAAGTAACAAATACATACCAGTCAACTGGTGATGGATACCAAGCATATGTACATTTCTCATTGGCTGCCTGGCCATAATTATTGTAACCCCATCCATGAATTCGACCATCACTCATAGAGATAAGTGTGTGGGAATGTCCACAAGCAACAAGTTGAACACCTTTAGG